CGTATTCTATGTGAATAGTTTAAACTACTGTACGTGTAATCTATCCTTTATAAACTACTGCATTCTCTGTATCGTAATATCACCGTATTACAGTTCCTTCAGGTACTCCGTATTTATTATCAGTTCCCTGCTGTACATTCTCGGTCACCGTATTACAGTTCCTTCAATTATTCCGTATTTATTATCAGTTCCCTGCTGTACACTCTCGGTCACCGTATTACAGTTCCTTCAGATATTCCGTATTTATCATCAGTTCCCTGCTGTACACTCTCGGTCACCGTATTACAGTTCCTTCAGATATTAACTGTAATTTTTATCATTATACTACTATATATCAAAATGTTCGTCTGTCGTCTTTTTTTTAATGATAGTGTGATGGTGAAGTCAAAGTATTCTATTAGAGATGGCTGTGGGGACTGACAACTGTTCTGGAGATGGCTGTGGGGACTGAAAACTGGTTCTGGAGATGGCTGTGGGGACTGATAACTGGTTCTGGAGATGGCGTTGGGGACTGATAACTGGTTCTGGAGATGGCTGTGGGGACTGACAACTGGTTCTGGAGATGGCTGTGGGGACTGATAACTGGTTCTGTAGACGGTTGTGGGGACTGATAACTGGTTCTGGAGATGGCTGTGGGGACTGACAACTGGTTCTGGAGATGGCTGTGGGGACTGACAACTGGTTCTGGAGATAGCTGTTGGGACTGACAACTGGTTCTGGAGATAGCTGTGGGGACTGATAACTGGTTCTGGAGATGGCTGTGGGGACTGATAACTGGTTCTGGAGATGGCTGTGGGACTGATAACTGGTTCTGGAGATAGCTGTGGGACTGATAACTGGTTCTGGAGATGGCTGTGAGGACTGATAACTGTTTCTGGAGATAGCTGTTGGGACTGATAGCTGGTTCTGGAGATGGCTGTGGGGACTGATAACTGGTTCTGGAGATGGCTGTGGGGACTGACAACTGGTTCTGGAGATAGCTGTTGGGACTGATAGCTGGTTCTGGAGATGGCTGTGGGGACTGACAACTGGTTCTGGAGATGGCTGTGGGGACTGACAACTGGTTCTGGAGATAGGCTGTGGGGACTGATAACTGGTTCTCCGAGTTCCAATCTAGTCATGCTCGCCCTTTCAGCAGTGGGAGCGTTGTAATATAACGGTTAGTCCCACTACTCGTTGATAAAGAGTAGCCTGAGATTTGGCGACGGGTGCTATTGGCTCTCTTCCTTCTAGTTTTCCGGTTCCAAAGTAGGGAAAACTAGAGCAAAAACCGCTTGGATTGCTTTCCGTGAACGTCTGAGACAAACAAACGCCTCCGTACTTATACGTGTTTTAGTGTTCTGAATATTTGAAAACATTGATTTTTTTTATACTGTACCACAAGCAGTGTAAGAACATAAAACCCGTAATATTTTACGGGTTTGTTCGACTAGGACCAAACTCGGAAATCTGGCAAGACAAATGTGGTTCCTCGTGAGCTGTAATATTTCCTAAAACGCTATACCCAACCATAACCAATGTAGAAATATATATATATATATACTATCACTGTCTTTTACTGAGGTGTACTTCACTCGACAATGGCCTATACAATGATACCTTACTCCAACCCAGGTATACAAATACAATACTTCACTCGACAATGGCCTATACAATGATACCTTACTCCAGCCCAGGTATACAAATACAATACTTCACTCGACAATGGCCTATAGAATGATACCTTACTCCAGCCCAGGTATACAAATACAATACTTCACTCGACAATGGCCTATACAATGATACCTTACTCCAGCCCAGGTATACAAATACAATACTTCACTCGACAATGGCCTATACAATGATACCTTACTCCAACCCAGGTATACAAATACAATACTTCACTCGACAATGGCCTATACAATGATACCTTACTCCAACCCAGGTATACGAATACAATTGAATAACGTACATTGTTTATGAGTTGCTTTCAGATATCACTAAACATCTCGGTCACCTACACACTAATTGATCTTCCATTTTCCAGCTATCTACCTCTTTAAAGATTTACCTTACCTTTCCTGGGGGAAAAGTTATGGATCACAATTACACACGTTTTATTCTACCAAAATCAATATGTCAGTCTTGGTAACTCTACCAGTAGATTTTCATCACAAAAATGCTATTTTTCTCCATCTAGTACAGTTTTAGATAAAGACCTTTTCCATAAAAGCGGCGAAGATCAGAAGAAGTTGAGGGTCACCTTGAAAAACAGTCAGTGTCTTTAGTTAATGAAGGGAAATTAACAGTCAGTCTCTTTCAAGACACTAACAATAACTACCACCACATATAAAGTTATCAAGACACTTAAGATAACTAACACCACATATAGAGTTATCAAGACACTAACAATAACTAACACCACATATAGAGTTATCAAGACACTTAAGATAACTAACACCACATATAGAGTTATCAAGACACTAACAATAACTAACACCACATATAGAGTTATCAAGACACTTAAGATAACTAACACCACATATAGAGTTATCAAGACACTAACAATAACTAACACCACATATAGAGTTATCAAGACACTAACAATAACTAACACCACATAT